TATGAAAATGAAACATATTACTTGCAGTCGCTTTTCAATTAAAAGTGTAGAGAAATAATTAAAACAACACAAAACAACAACTATTAAAGTTKAAAAAAACGACTTGTGCAGTCATGCTSTAAGCTCAATAGTCAATACAATTTAATTTTATTAATTAACATTTATAAACAAACAAAACAAAAATTTATAACTTTAGTTAATAAGTAAACTTAGTTTAAAAATACATAAAATTCAAAATTCAAAAAATAATATATTTTATCAAGTTGTAATAAATCTATATGGAAGAATTTGTATTGTATATATTTTTACAACAAAATATTTCATTATATTACCCAGTGACCCATATTGATAGTTATGATAAATGCATTTTTTACAAATAATAATTAAATATTATCAGTTAATTAACAATCTTATTACCCAATAGGAATAAGTTCAGATTGCTCACACTTAAGGGGTTGTATAACTTCTACAACCATTGTTCCACACAAAACATCATATGCACATCTATTTTGATTGGCTGCTGCTGTGATAAAAGGTAGTGGAAACAAGAATGCAAAAAATAAGTTTTTAGTGATTGAACGAAGTGCTGCCCGTTTCCATCCAATATCACCACCAGGAATTAAAGCAATAATATCAGATTGCTGACCTCTTATATTAAATAGCTTATCAGCTCGAACAACTGTAAGAGCTAACAGAGTTTTTCCAACTGTTGCTCCTCCTTGAAAAACTGTACTACCTTGTARAAAATATATCTAAAAATATCATGAAGATTTTGATTAAAATTTATAATAACTGTGTATTAGTTAAAGGTTAAAGTTAGTTAAGGTTATTTTAAGAATAATTTTATTTTAATTCCGAAATTACCTCATATACACAAACTATTATTCGGTGCAAAACTTCTATAAAAAATAGTTCTGATGTCATTTCTACTGCTGCAGTATAATCAACATTATAATCATCTCGTGTAAAAATATTGTTATACTTGGTAAAATCACTGAAAAAAAAGATAAATTATACAATGTAAATCATGGACAGAATGTGAGCTTTAATATGAGGKCATATTGTATGACATGTAATTGTGTAATTGTGTTATTATTACTATTATAATTTTATACATAAACACATTTAAAAATTAATATAATTATTTGTTTAGGTAATCATGTTGTACAGTATTATTTTTAAATTAAATACCTACATAGGTATGAATTTAACTTGTTATTTAATTTTGTAAAACCTCGGCTAAAACGTTATTTACATTATACTTTATTATTATATTAATTGATGTCTTGGCTTTACATACAAAAAAAAAATATGGTAATTAAAGTTTTATGCCAGGTTCCATGAACAATCACTAAAAATTTAATGAATTGATAGTGAGCTAAACTAATGATCCTTTAAAAGTGATTTAATGACACATGATTGGTCCATTAAGTTGATTGACCATTGGCATAAGACTTAATGCTTTGATAATTGAATTTATTTATTTATTATTTTTTGATAAATTTGCGATTGAAGTATACWGTATGTACTTTACCATGAATCTATGAAAGTAAATACTATTAATTTACAAAAAAATAATAAATTCATATTTTTATAATACTTATACTTAAATTTTGTCAAAAAGCCGATAATTTTCTTACAGTCAACATTTAATTTTAATATATTATAGTTTAATTTACATTTCATTATTATATTGTTATAAAATACAAAATTCTAAATAGTATTCAGCATTCAGTATACATAAATAAAATACAGACATACTAATTTAAAGTAATTTTGTATTATTTATTTATGTATACATACAACATAAACCATCAGTAGTTGAATTGCAAAAAAAAATGACTTTAAATGAAGTTAAACAAATAAATTAAAGTTTAACAATTAAGCAAATTGATTTAATAGTAAACCTAATCCTTGATGAATATAATAAAGGGATACACTATAATTTGAAGAAAAATGAAGATTAGCTTAGTCCCTCAATGTCCTACTCCAATTCAACCACTGCAGACAACCATCAAAAAATTTTGAAGTAATGTCAGTATATAAGGTATTAAGTGACAACTAAATTAATATTATTGTTTACAAATAACATCAGAAGACCCTACTGGTGTAGATTATATAAATAACTAAACAATCTTAAACAAAAAAAGGTAAAATTAATTAGGTATTTTAGTTAATAAATTCAAATATGTTTTATAAAGTCAGTGCTACTAGAACCAAATAAATCAGTTAGATAAGTGACACAGTGTCTATACCCTATCTAGTTTTTTTCTAATTTGATTTCAGAATATTTGTTTTATATTAATAATAGCTTATTTTCACTGCAATAAACTAAAATAAGATAAATATTATTTTTTTGGACAAAGATTTTAAACATTAAGAGTAGATTATAGATTATGTTATTATATCAACAAAAGATTTAGGATTTATTTTGTAAAAATATATAATTACTTATTCCATAAAATATAAAAATTGGATTTCATTATTTTAATAGTAAAACATAAATTTTACTCACATKTCAAGAATTGAATCTACTATAAAGTAAGCAATCAAGAATTTTATAAAGCTTAACAGCAAAAAGTCAATGAATTCAGCTCCAAAGCGTTTCCATAAAGATGGTATCT